CAGACAGACAGACAGACAGACAGACAGACAGACAGACAGACAGACAGACTCTGTACATATAAACACAGAGGATGATTGGAGAGATTGAAATGATGGAGATTTCCTCAGGGATATCGGTTCAGTGCTCGACCAGTTTGTACATTTGGAGGGAAAGTGTTCTTTTATCTTTCCCCTCAGTCTCTACTCCTCAAAATACATTCATGGTAGCTAACTATTCTTTTTTGTATGGCACATTGTGAAGGTTTCAGACCTACAGCCTTTGGCTGCATTTAGACGTGCAGCCCAATTCTGATATTTTTGTCATGTTGTTTGCCAATAATTGGGCAAAATATCAGAACTGGGCTGCCCGTGTAAACGCAGCATTAGTGTCTGTAATGTGCGTTCTATCCGTGGCCCCTCTGTGCTACTATTTGTAATGAAGCTTTGTGCCTCTGATATCCTGTCCCCTCAGTACCTGGAGCGGTCCCTCTGGAGTCCATCCAGGGCAGTGCTTACGAAGAGAAGATGATCCTCAAGTGGAGAGAACCAGCCCAGACCTACGGAATCATCACTCAGTATGAGGTGATTAATTGATTGATTTATTGATTGAATGAATGATTGAATTCAGTCGATTATCAAAACACATATTACTGTTGGCCCACAAACACACAATCTCTTTTCTTGTCCAGCTTTCCTTTTCCTACTGTTTTGAATCATTCTCGTTTTAGGGAATCACCAAAGCCATACACTAGAACTTTGGTATTTTCAAATCTGAAAATACCAAACATCCCAGACCATGTACCTTCTTCCTAGGCTACAGTCTGTATCCATGTAAAGGTTTTATATATATATATATATATCCACCCCCAGCCAGCCAAGCCTCTGAACTCTATATAATGTTCAATACTAAATAGATTATTTACCTTGTACATTTTTTTAAATAAAAAATTAAGGGAGAAGTAGGCATCGGTCTGAAGCCGAAAAAGGAAAAGGAATTTACATGAGCACCACAATGCCTACTCCACCCATGCTCTACCAAGGTTTTCCAGCACACAGCTCTGACCTACTACAGTAGCTACTGTAGGTTGGTCTATTGCACTTCAAACAATGTGTAGGCAGGTTGCTTAGGATTCAAACCTTATCAAACAAACCTTTTCAAGCTGTTTTGTCTTGTATTATTGTGGTGCCTCCCTGTATTTCCCCCAACGTTTATTTTAGCAATACATGTCATTGAGAAAAAATATATATTTCAGAACATATTTTGGGGGGGGGGGGGGGGGGGGGGGGGGGGGTCGGTAGGTGCCCAACATAACAGGTGGTGGTGCTGTGTTGGACACAGTCACTCATATATATGAGGTCTATAGAGCCTGTCGCCATTCCTGATTTCTGTAACCGTTAGCTTACCTGTGTAAGATTGACATAAGCTAAGAAACACTTGTTTTGCAAACATGTTCCTGTTTTATCAATTGATGTGCTGATCAATGGACAGTTCATTACCTCTGTCAAATGTTTTATTTTTTTAAATTATTTTTTCACCTTTTATTTAACCAGGTAAGCCAGTTGAGAACAAGTTCTCATTTACAACTGCGACCTGGCCAAGATAAAGCAAAGCAGTGCGATTAAAAACAACAACAACACAGAGTTACATATGGGGTAAAACAAAACAGTCAAAGTCAAAAAATACAAACAGAAAAAATATATATATAGTGTGTGCAAATGTAGCAAGTTATGGAGGTAAGTAAATTAATATGGAGCTTAAAGTGATGTCTGTATTTGTATTTATTTTTTGCAATTAAGATGGCGACATAACAATAATACACATTTACTATATGCCTATATCAAAACATATACAAATATATTATAACACCTATTCAGTATCGTTCAAACCCTATTAAGCCTTAGCCCCACCCGTCTCTTTAAGGATTCCCATGTGAGGCCATGTGCTAAACAGAGGGAGTAAGGTAGTGTGGTAAACAACCAAAGATTTCAACACTAAAAGTAGTGAAAGTAGTCGCCTACAATAAGGGAAAAACTCCAGGAAAAAAAGACACTTGATCTAGTCCTTGGCTTATATCCTAATCTGACTTTGAAAAGTGTCCAGATACAAATATTTTATCATTATTCTTACCCAGACACACTTGTCTAAATTGATGGGTCATGTGAAAGAAATGCTATAACCGCCCCCCCCCCCCAGCCACATCTAGCTAAGTGGATGGGTCAGTATTGTCTAGACATGTACACATGTTCATTAAATACAATAGATGGCAGTAATCACCCCCAGACACACCTGGCTAACTTGATGGGTCATGTAATCATCTGGCAAAATGGAGTCTTTTGTTTAGATATGTAGCTAGCTAGCTGGCTAAACAATGAACCGTAATCCCAACCCATAGCTACAGTACAACCCGATTGTCATAGCTAGACAAAATGCGTGAAATGCTGGACTAGGAATCTGCAGATAGCTAAAGCTAACCAACTAGGTTCAATGTTAGCTAGCTAGCTAACATTAGGCTATAACTAGCAATGTAGATGGCTTTCTGAGATACAAATAATATTACTACACAGATCATAAACGTAATAATAGCTAGCGAGTCAGCAAGCTAATGTTCGCTAGCTAGCTAACAGTTCGCGTTAACTTGCAATGAAAACGACTTTCTGACAAAATTAGAAATTTATAATTTCTGAAAATGTAGCTAGACTCTTACCCGTATACATGGATGAGCGCTTCACGGCAACGTGTATTTTCTGTATGGTTTGTAGTTAGCTACAGCTTTTCTGTGGCTAAACAAACTAGGCTCGTAACTGAACAATTGTATTCGTATTTACAGATGGCATACAAGTTTGTTATTAAGGCACTGGAAAGTTACCATGTTCCAGAATACATTTCTGCCCAAAAATGGCGAGACGATGCAAATAGTCCGGGGGCCATTTGATTAGCTGTTCAGGAGTCTTATGGCTTGGGGGTAGAAGCTGTTAAGAAGCCTTTTGGACCTAGACTTGGCGCTCCGGTACCGCTTGGAGAACAGTCTATGACTACAGGTGGAGTCTATCAGAATGTGAATGGAACATGAAAGAGATATTCCTTTTCTGTGTCCCAAATAGCACCCTATTCCCTATATAGTGTATCGCTCATAGGGCTCTGGTTAAAAGTAGTGCACTATATAGGGAATAGGGTGCTATATGGGGCATAGTCCTTCTATACAAATGGCAGAAGAATATTCCAATCAATCTGGCTTTAGGACATAGTATTTATACAGATCGTTATGGGGTTTTCACCTTCCACTACAGCCACCGCAGGCAATCACCAGCTCTCTCTCACTTTCCCGTGCACACATGCACAAGTGCACGCATACACACACACACACAAGCATGCACGCATGTACGTACGCACACATTTTTTAATCAATTTTTTTTACACACACTAGAAGTCATCATATCTCTGACTGGAGGTAGCAGGTACCTGTTACACTTAGCAGGCAGCTAGATGAAGTCCCCGACCTCTCAGGTGTGCCCTTTGTGACGTGTATAGAGGGGACCAAAGCCTTTCAAATAGATTCTGAAATAGTCAATATGATAGAAATATTAACATTATGCAGAGTGTCCTCTGCTGCTATGAGACTGACAGATAGGGAGAAAGGAACAGGGTTGTGTGTGTGTGTGTGTGTGTGCGTGTGTGTGTGTGTGTGTGTGTGTGTGTGCATGTGCGTGCGTGTGTGTGTGTGTGTGCATGTGTGTGTGTGCCTCACACCTTTCCAGCCTAGTTCTCTGACCTCTGTATTTTGTCTGGAGAAGTTGATTCCTTAAAGTCCATACAGCCTGTCTTTGATTTGACACCATCAAAGGGCTCAAAGTGAGATCCCTTCTGACAAGCTCTGATCAAAACACAGATTTCAGCTCCTCTCCCTTTTTTCCTCTGACCTCCGAACACTGTGTGTGTCTCAAATGGCACCCTATTCCCTATATAGTGCACTACTTTTGACCAGGGCCCATAGAGTTTTGGTCAAAAGTAGTGCACTACATTATATAGGGGATATGGTGCCTTTAGGGACACAGCCACTGTCAGCTTCCCAGACCAGACAGATTCAGTTCCCTGTGAGATCCGTCTGTCTGTCTCTCTGTCTCAGGAGGTTGGTGGCACCTTAATTGGGGAGGACGGGCTCGTGGTAATGGCTGCAGGGGAGTAGGTGGGATGGTATCAAATACATTGAACGTGTCGTTTCCATGGTTTCTGTGTTTGATGCCATTCCATTTGTGCCGTTCCAGGCCATTATTATGGGCTGTCCTCCCCTCAGTAGCCTCCACTGCTCTCTGTCTGTCTGTCTGTCTGTCTGTCTGGCTGGTTCTCTGTCTGTCTGTCTGTATGTCTGCCTGTCTGTCTGTCTGTCTGTCTGTCTGTCTGTCTGTCTGTCTGTCTGTCTGTCTGTCTGTCTGGCTGTTGGTTGTCTGGCTGGCTGGCTGGCTGGCTGGCTGTCTGCCTGTCTGTCTGTCTGCCTGTCTGCCTGTCTGTCTGTCTGCCTGTCTGTCTGTCTGTCTGTCTGTCTGTCTGCCTGTCTGGCTGGTTCTGTGTCTGTCTGTCTGTCTGTCTGTCTGTCTGTCTGGCTGTTGGTTGTCTGTCTATCCTTTTAATGCAGGGACCTGAAACTGTGTAATTACAATGTTTTTTTTCAGTAGACTTACATTTTGTGAAACCTTACCCTAAACATCTATGGTATACATGTAGTAGGCTATACTATTCTGCATAACATAATGATTTCTCATTCTGTATATTTGACTTGTTTAAATTAGAAACATTGTTCCTAACAAAAGCTACATTTCCCAGCTAGGAAACATTAAAAGCATTAATCTGCACAATTAATCAGCTTTTAGTTTTCCTCCCTCCCGTCAGTCTCATTTATTGTAAAAAAAAAAAAATAAACACAAAAAAACAAAAAAAAAAAAAGACAAATACGAAATTGAAAAAAACACAACAACCCCCCGCACTCCCCCACCATCCATCGGCCCATCGCCCCCGCACCCCGCCACGCAGCGACCCTCCACCGAGCCTCCTCCGCTCTCATCTCGTCCGCGTCAAGCTCGTGAGCGTCACGCGCTCTCTTTCTGAGGGCGTCGCCTCCTATTCTGTCAACGTACCTCTTGCGTCCTCTCTCTCTCGTTGCCACCTCTTGCCTGCTCGTCGCTCGCCGGTCGTCGTCGTCTGCGTCTCTGAGTCTCTGCTTCTGACCGAAGTCGTGCGCTTTTCGAGTTCGTCCTCGCGCCGCACGCTCTCTCTCCTCGAGTGGGTCGCTCGATCTAGCAAGCGAAGGAGGGCCTCGTCGTTCTCTCCTCTCTCTACTCGGCTCTCTCCTCGTCCTCCTCTCTCTCTTCGAACGATTCTCTCTCTCTCTCTCTCTCTCTCGAGATTTGGCATCACAGCAGACTCATTCCACCAGACAAAGACAAAATGGCACACACACACACACAAGCCAGACTCAGTCCACACGCAGACAAAGACAAAATGAGAAAAGGCCTCCAAGCATTTCAGAAACTTGATGGACACAATTTATGCAGCACTCCAAACTGTTCCTTTGTGTTTTTTAATTGGAATTATAATGGAAGCTTTCTATTACGAGGAAGCAGGAGTGTTGTCTTAAAGTGGGGATTTATAAATGGATATTAAAAAGAGGAACACTCACCTTAATGCTTCTCCCTCTAGAGATGTGGTGCTTATGGTTACATTAATGGAGGAGGAATACATTAAACTGGTATTATTATTCTGAAACAACTAAGCAACTAGATTACAGAGAGTAAACAGTGATGATACTAGGTAAACAACTAGACTACAGAGAGTAAGGTCCTCTGTAGCTCAGCTGGTAGAGCACGGCGCTTGTAACGCCAAGGTAGTGGGTTCGATCCCCGGGACCACCCATACACAAAAATGTATGCACGCATGACTGTAAGTCGCTTTGGATAAAAGCGTCTGCTAAATGGCATATTATTATTATTATTATAGTAAACAGTGATGATACTAGGTAAACAACTAGACTACAGAGCGTAAACAGTGATGATACTAGGTAAACAACTAGACTACAGAGAGTAAACAGTGATGATACTAGGTAAACAACTAGATTACAGAGAGTAAACAGTGGTAAACTAGGTCCCTTAGCTCACTGGTAGAAGCACGAGCGCTTGTAACGCCAAGTATGGTTCGATCCCGGACCACACAGACACAAAGTATACAGCATGATTGTAAGTCGCTTTGATAAAAGCGTCTGCTAATGGCATAATTATTTATATAATATTTAGTAACAGTGATGATACTAGTAAACAACTAGACTACAGAGAGTAAACAGTGATGATACTAGGTAAACAACTAGACTACAGAGAGTAAACAGTGATGATACTAGGTAAACAACTAGACTACAGAGAGTAAACAGTGATGATACTAGGTAAACAACTAGACTACAGAGAGTAAACATGATTGATACTAGTAAACAACTAGACTACAGAGAGTAAACAGTGATGATACTAGATAAACAACTAGATTACAGAGAGTAAACAGTGATGATACTAGGTAAACAACTAGACTACAGAGAGTAAACAGTGATGATACTAGGTAAACAACTAGACTACAGAGAGTAAACAGTGATGATACTAGGTAAACAACTAGATTACAGAGAGTAAACAGTGATGATACTAGATAAACAACTAGATTACAGAGAGTAAACAGTGATGATACTAGGTAAACAACTAGACTACAGAGAGTAAACAGTGATGATACTAGGTAAACAACTAGACTACAGAGAGTAAACAGTGATGATACTAGGTAAAACTAGACTACAGAGAGTAAACAGTGATGATACTAGTAAACAACTAGACTTACAGAGAGTAAACAGTGATGATACTAGGTAAACAACTAGACTACAGAGAGTAAACAGTGATGATACTAGGTAAACAACTAGACTACAGAGAGTAAACAGTGATGATACTAGGTAAACAACTAGACTACAGAGAGTAAACAGTGATGATACTAGGTAAACAACTAGACTACAGAGAGTAACAGTGATGATACTAGATAACAACTAGACTACAGAGATAAACAGTGATGATACTAGGTACACTAGATTACAGAGAGTACCAGTATGATCTAGGAACACTAGACTCAGAGAGTAACAAATGATCACTAGATAACACTAGTTTCTACTTATAAATGATGATACTAGGTACAACTAGACTACAGAGTAGCAACGTGATGTATACTCTTTCAGTTCGCTGCAGCTAGCTACTGGAACGGCTGCAAACCTCAAACTGGACAGTTTTATCTCCATCTTTCATTCAAGCTCCATCATGACACTCTTCTGACAGTTTTGGTCATCTTCACTGAGTATGGTTGTCTCTTCCTTCTTGCCCTTTTGTGTCTGCTACCATTTGTCTGCTACACCATGTTGTGCTGCTACCATGTTGGCTGCTAACAATGTGTCCTGCTCCTGTTGTCTGTCTCTGTTGTTTTTAGTCTTTGTGGTGTCTCTCTTGTCTTGATGTGTGTTTTGTCCTATATTTTTACTCCTGTACTAGCACCTCACACCCTACTAGGCCTAAGTACATGTTATAAAATCATGTCACTCTCCCTGTCTGTCTGTCTCTGTCTGTCTGTTTCCAGATCTCCTTCAAGGCAGTGAGCTCCTTTGATCCGGAGCTGGATCTGTCCAACCAGAGTGGGAAGGTCCTGAAACACGCCAACGAGACCAGCCACATCTTCCTGGGGCTCTACCCAGGATCCACCTACTCCTTCACCCTCAGAGCCTCCACGGCCAAGGGCTACGGACCCCCAGTCATCACGCAGTTCACCACCAAGATATCAGGTCAGTCCCAAGCCCCTAGCCATCATATCCTCTAGGTAACATTGTAACACTAGCCCCCTATCCTCTAGGTAATAGTGTAACACTAGCCCCCTATCCTCTAGGTAATAGTGTAACACTAGCCCCCTATCCTCTAGGTAATAGTGTAACACTAGAACCCTATCCTCTAGGTAATAGTGTAACACTAGCCCCCTATCCTCTAGGTAATAGTGTAACACTAGCCCCCTATCCTCTAGGTAATAGTGTAACACTAGCCCCCTATCCTCTAGGAAATAGTGTACACTAGCCCCTATCCTCTAGGTAATAGTTAACACTAGCCCCCTATCCTCTAGGTAACAGTGTAACACTAGCCCCCTATCCTCTAGGTAATAGTGTAACACTAGCCCCCTATCCTCTAGGTAACAGTGTAACACTAGCCCCCTATCCTCTAGGTAATAGTGTAACACTAGACCCTTATCCTCTAGGTAATAGTGTTGCTCTGAAATGATTGAACAGGTAAAAGCCATATGATTATACCTTCACCTTGCCTTCTGGCATTTTGATCGAGCAATTATCAGATGTCGCTCCACGGTGCATATAGCTTATGCTAGTTTTTCACACCTATACCTCGGTGAGCATAGGTGAATGTTTCTAATGTTTGTGAAGGAGACTTGGCGAGTGTGTGTTGTCCTTCTAACTAAAGGAAACTGATATGTGTGTTGTCCTTCTAACTAGAGGAAACTGGTATGTGTTGTCCTTCTAACTAGAGGAAACTGATATGTGTTGTCCTTCTAACTAGAGGAAACTGATATGTGTGTTGTCCTTCTAACTAGAGGAAACTGATATGTGTGTTGTCCTTTTAACTAGAGGAAACTGATATGTGTGTTGTCCTTCTAACTAGAGGAAACTGATATGTGTGTTGTCCTTCTAACTAGAGGAAACTGATATGTGGTTGTCCATTTACCTAGAAAGGAACTGATATTTTTGTCCTTCTAACTAGAGGAAACGTATGTGTGTTGTCCTTCTAACTAGAGGAAACTGATATGTGTGTTTCCATTTAAAAAAGAGGAAACTGATGTGTTTGTGTCCTTCTAACTAAGGGAAACTGATATGTGTGTTGTCCTTCTAACTAGAGGAAACTGATTGTGGTTTTCCCATCTAACTAGAGGAAACTGATATGTGTGTTGTCCTTCTACTAGAGGAAACTGATATGGGGTGTTGTACTTCTAACTAGAGGAAATGATATGGTGTTGTCCTTCTAACTAGAGGAAAATGATTTGTGTTGTTTTCCTTTTAACTAGAGGAAACTGATAGGTTGTTGTCCCTTCTAACTAGAGGAACCCGATATGTGTGTTTTGTCCATCTAACTAGAGGAAAAATGATTTTGTGTGTTGTCCTTCTAACTAAGGAACTGATATGTGTGTTGTCCTTCTAACTAAGGAAACTGATATGTGTGTTGGGCCAAACTAACTAGAAGAAACTGATATGTGTGTTGTCCTTCTAACTAAGGAAACTGATATGTGTGTTGTCCATCTAACTAAGGAAACTGATATGTGTGTTTGTACTTCTAAACTAGAGGAACTGATATTGTTGTCCTTCTAACTAGAGGGAAAATGATATGTGTGTTGTCCCTTTTAACTGAGGAAAAATGAATGTGTGTTGTCCTTCTACTGTAGGAAACTGATAGGTTGTGGTGTCCTTCTAACTAGAGGAAACGAATGGGGTTGTCCACTAATAGAGGAAACGGGAATGTGGTTTGCCTTCAACTAGAGGAAACTGATATGTGTGTTGTTCCTCTAACTAGAGGAATGATTGTGGGTTGCCATCTAACTAGAGGATGATATGTGGTTTGTCCTTCTAACTAGAGGAAAATGATATGTTTTTTGTCCATTTTAAATAGAGGAAAACTGATATGTGTGTTGTACTTCTAACTAGAGGAAACTGATTTTGTGTTTGTCCTTCTAACTAGAGAACTGATATGTGTTTGTCCTTCTAACTAAGGGGAAATGATAGTGTGTGTCCTTCAACTAGAGGAAAATGATATGGTGTTGTCCATCTAAATAAGGAAATGATATTGTGTTGTCCATCAACTAGAGAAATGTATGTGTTTGTCCTTCTAAACTAGAGGAACTGATATTGTGTTGTCTTCTAACTAGGGAAACGTTTTTTTGTTTGGTGTTGTTCCTTCTAAAAATATGGTTTTAAAC